TAATAAAGAGCATTGCTGGTGACCCTCACCAGTTGCAACGCTGTGACGGGGAATGGGGTACCAGGCAGGAAGGGGATGCTGACCCAGCAGGGCCAGCTAAAGGCAACCTGACTGCTGGTGGTGACACCGAGAGCTGCTGCTGCTTCATGAGACCATGAGCTCAGAGGACTGGTCACCTCAAGGGATGCTTCAGTAAAGCAAAAAGGGTAAGTTTTGCTCTTTCTGRTGCTTTTCCCTCCTCCTGTTATTTAAATAAAGAGCAACTGCCTCACAACGCAACACAAAACTTGTACCAACACACATTGATTCGTCTGAGGAGTTGGAAATTAAACTCTGGTTGCACAGCAGGGTCTGAATGAGAGGGGGCTCCGCTGAACTCTTTTTGAAGGCTGAATCCTGGGGGTTTTCCCACCAGCAGAATCCCCTGTGTGCAGGGGAGGACAGGACACGAAGCTCACAATTGAGCCTTAGACACTTGCTAAGCCAGCACCTATCTAGGACTATAGCCTGCCCTCATCATCTATAAAGCAGGACAGAGATCTGAAGACTGTATTAGGACAGGGTATGAAATGTCCTGCTTCCARCTTCAGTGTCATTTGGCCCGCTGTGAACTGTCATTCAGCAACTGTTATGAAGTCCACATAAGCATACTAGTTAGTACTAAAATGTGCCTTCTTCTTAGAAAAACAGCACTGCACCTTGCAGTTTGTACAACAAATCAGGCCAAGGAATGATTTGAAAGCAAGTCTGTCTTCTCACTCTCTGGAGTATTAACTCAAAATAATCCAGGAAACTTCAGCTGTGAATATACAGATGATATTGCCATTTGCTAGGCAAGGAAGTTCCTTGAGAGAGAGAAAAACAGCCTTTGGACTAATCTTTGTCATGACTATCATGTCAACAGAAAACTAAGATTTTTTACTTGAAAAGGAATATTCTGCAGCATGATAGTCCTTTGAGGTCATGTTTCTTCCATTCCCTTTGGAAAGAGAGATAGCAGGGGAACGGAGATAACATTTCTTGCTGTTTTGAAAAGTTCAGAGGAATAAACTTGAAGGCAATCAAGTCTAGTGACTGTTTTAGATAAAACTTTGAAGTATTCTTGGCAGGTATATGAGAGAGCAGTTATACCATACCTGGCTTCACAAACATAGCATCAGCATTAAGGGCCATACCCTAAAGGCTTAAGTTGTGCTTGGGACTTTCAGAAGCACTGACTTCCACAGCATTTCACAGAAAATTCATCATAGAAACAAATCAGTATGCTCATTTCCTATAAGGAGAAAATCTACCAAGGGAGGAAAGCACATGGTTTATGAGCAGCTCTGGCTGTTTGGGTAAGGAAGAAACTGGTATTTATGAAATCAGGAGCTTAAGAGATCCAGATCTCCGGGGAAGGGCTCATTTGGGAAGATCAGAGAGCTGTTTTAGAGGTGCTGAGCACCCAGAGCTCCCAGCTGAGTTGTGGGGACTCAGCACCTTGGAAAGTCAACCCAAATCTTGAAATCTTCAATGGCCACAATGGTTGTGGCCACCAAGAGTAGACCTACAAATCCCCATGCTTTCAGTGYTGCTAAAATCCCACTCCCATTTGGAAGATGGGAGGCGGGAGCCTTGCCATGCCCACTTAGATGTTTTTCATTGTCTTCTTTACTGTCTTTATGTC